CCCCTCCCCCTGCCCTCCTCTCGGCTGCGGCTGCTGTGGAGGTAGTAGCGGGCTGCCACCGCTGCTGCGGGGGCTGTGGGGGTAGTAGTAGTGGTAATCCTACTGCTACCTCCACGGCTCGGGGTCAGCTACTCCCGAGACGTCCGTGACGTCACTGCTGTAGTGGTGGCAGTCTGCTACTACCTCCACAGTTACCACAGCTCCGAGCTAACTAGGTGTATGAAATCAAGTAAAATGTAGTAGTCATTTTTAATTCTTTATTGTTTTAAATCATTTACATTATAAGAGTAAAGTCTTCCTCAAGTAGCCGGCTTGTTTCTGCTGGTGACTTGGGGTGAATCTGAATACCTGAAAAAGAAAGAAAAAAATCTAAGTTAAATTCAAATTATCAGAGTTCAACTCAAACGTTTTCTGGTCCATATGGTATCACCGTGACGCCAGCTCATCGAATGAACTTTCTATGTTACAGGTGGCCAGCATCAAGTCCAGGCATATTCCTTTGGACAAGAACCAGCATCACTCCCTACTCTACTAAGACTGTACCATACAGACATAATAAATAGCAGCATTACTCTAAGTGACACTCTGATGATTTGCCTCTACGTCCCTCCACTAAAATCAACACACAACTACATATATGGAGTAAGCATAAAAGCAATAAAGAAATGACAATTTAATTTAGAAAACATTCAGAAACGACAACTTGAATGGTCAATGCAAATAACTTTACTCTGAAATATATTAGACCGAGGTATCTTCATATTCTCTCGGCTTACTCAAAGCCCGATACACAATCAATATATGAAAGTGGAAATAAATAGCAGCATTTCTCTGAGACTCTGATGATTTGCCTCTACTTCCTGTCTACTAAAATTAACACACGACCACATATTGTAGGATCAAGTATTAGGCCGTAACCCCCCAAAGAGAAACAAACCTAGGATGGCCACGCAATCGGAGTTTTCAAATTCTCTGACTTTGAAATGTATATTGAGTGGAACTTTTTGCCTCCCGAAAAATTGAAAATGCCACCGAAAGTTTGAAAACAACAATTTGGGGCAAGATTCAGTCATTTTCCCTAACCAACGGTCAATTTCCCTGACTTTTGCCTGACTTCACTGACCAATATTTTTCCCTGACTTCCAGGTAGCGTGGCCACCCTAAGGTATTTAATACCTAAATAAAGTTTTACCAAACTTGACTCTACCATAATGTATTGATATTTATGTAAATGTTACATAAAAAGTCAAATTAACTTACCAGAATCATTCCTGTGATCATGAGAAAATGGGGCAATTTCTCATGCTGTGTGCTGTGACACTAACTCAGCATACCTTGGGTGATTGCTACCCGCTGCTGCTTAGCTGATGTCAAGGACAGATGCAACTATTGGGCAGTCTTCCTGCAACAGGGTAAAAACAGAATTTTGGTCAACATATATCATGATGACACCAACTCCTCTCTCTCTCTCTGGACTCCTAACAGTTTCAGGTGGCTGCCTAACATTAATGTGCCATGCTTCAAAAGCATTGCCTAGGACAGATAATGTCAACTCAACGTAAATTTTCACAGGTGAAATATCATAAATATTCATGCACTGTTAACTCTGTTTCCCTATTATTTACTTTCCATTTTTATCATACATTACAGAACTAAAGAGAGAAAGAGAGCATTCAGTTGGCATGGAAAAGAATATTTCTGCCTCATTGAGCAGAAAAAAGTGCAAAATCAATGAGGAGATAAAAGAAAAATATGAACACATCATAATTAACATTTGTAAGATTTCATCAAAATATATAAAGTAAAACTTTTTTATAAGCCCTCGTTTCAGTCCTGCTTCCATTCCCTTTCGCAATCCTTGGTGCAGCAGAAAGGTTAAAAACATAAGGGATCTGAGAGGCTTCAAAATTTATTCTAAGTGTAAACAAAAAATTAGAATCCCACTTGAAAAACTCAAAAACTTTGGGGACTATATCTGAGATTAATAGCTGTTATTCCCTAAGGACAGAAAATGAGCAAACTGGCGCTCTTTTCTATTTGAAAAACATCCTCACATTACTTACTGAGTATTATTATTTCCCTCCATACCCGCAGGAGGAGAGTCATGCATGAACTGGAGCTGTGAGGGGTGACAGAATGAGGAGCGGAGGGCTACAATTACTCTCAATGGCCTTATTTACATTCACTGCACCAACTTTATGAAAAATATTGATCAATTTTTCATTTGAGGCCATTTGAGGCTTTCATTACTTGTTCCATAAACCGGCTAATACGGGACCATGCGGGGTAATGTGGACCACCCTCTTAATCCTATGTCCCACTTCTGCTTGACTTGCGCAACCAGTGAGCTGTCGCCCAGCATTGTCAGGAACAAAACTAAGTGGTAGTACGAGTCGAGCAGAAGCGGAATATAGAAAAAAGTGGGTGGTCCACTTTACCACGCATGGTCCATATTACCCTGTTTTACGGTTCTTTACCAGCCCACTTCACTCTCTTGGTGGTAGGAAGAACGAGTATTGATCTCAGTGCGGTGTCACCCTTCTCTCATGGTCACCCTTTATGAACTGTTTGTACTTTCATCTAGAAACACATAACACCTCCAGACATGATGGTGGAACCATCGTAGAGCGGAGACGCTGGTCTTAATTAAAACAATGAACCTTTTCTCAGGTTTAATGGTATAATTTTGAGTACTTTTAACATATTTTGTGAGTTGTCATTTTAAGTCCCTGATCGCAGCTTTGAGCATTAAGAAAAGCACAATGATCAGGAATGCAAATGCATCATGCATCCACGTTTGAACATTGGAGTTGCATTAGAGAAATGTTAAAAAAAAGTTTGGGTCATAGTAGTAAATTCAAAATGAGGTTATGTAAATAAGTTTGCGAATGAGATTTATCACATCACGTTTGCGTTCTTCCGCATCTTACGCATAGACAGAGGAGTCTCTATGAAACTATATTGACAAATCTATGATCAACGAAGACGAACTAGAACAAACCGAAAATAATAACAACAGCAGTTTCTTACCTCCGCGAAGTTACAAATAACACCAAACCCAAAAGCCTAAGACAAACTCTTTCCGCCGCAAACTGCAAACAACAGTGTTGCACGCAGTATAGTCTCGTCGCAGGGTTATGTGCAGCCGGGAGCAGGGAGGAGCAGGGTGTATCGCTGCTCAGGCGCTGAGGATGGGCCACCATCCCCACACAAACACCCGGAGGGCTGTTGAAATAATGCCGGCCGTCCGCCCCACCCATCTGTCCGTTCGTGTCGTGAACCGTTGCGCTAGAAAGTGTGGGTGAAACATGGAAATCGGGAGTCGGCAGTCAGGACTAGCTCACACCTGGAGAACACTACTCCTGCCTGAATGTACCGAAAGGGGCGACACCTAACGCTGCGATACTCCCCGCGTTGCGCGTGTGCTGCGTGGAGTATTCCCCGGCGCCCGACCGTGGAGCCCGAGCCCAGCACACGGGGTATATCTGCACTTGGATGCAGCCTTCAGAGGAGGGCTACTAGGACTCGCCCTCACCGTCTAAAATCAACGTCACTCGAGTGACTTTCTCCCCGCACTACACAACACCGTTGGTTCCTCTGCCGCATTCAAAAAATGTAATAATTACGAAAACAAAAAAAGAAGGCTGTAAGGGTAAGGGCACTAAAATGTAGTCTTATCGGGTCGGGGGTGCGCCGGGCCTGCTCCGCCCACCTCACCTCACCGGTGATATGATCAGTTGAGAGACTCCGCTGCCGGTCCGTTGAAGCCTTGGACCAATGCTACCCTCCCCACCGTTTCAACCGTTTCGCGTCTATCGGCAGTCCGACCATCCGGCCAAGGAAAGTTAGCCGGTGGTCGGCGGTCCGCGCTGGCGCTGGACCCGCCAACGCTCTGTTCCCACGAGCCTGTTTGTTTCTGACAACCCGCTCGATGCAGGAGTGCATCAAATAGCTGGAAACATACGCCGTCGCCGTCATGTGCCAGGGATCAGCTAGAAAGAACGTTCACCGTGACGGACTGCCAAGCCGTTGCAAGCTCTCATAGCGCCTGCCAGGTAGGCAACATTCACTCTGCAGTGCATGCGTGTCCTGCGGGCTGGCCTACCCTGAGTCTTGCAGGCGCCAAACGCCCATAATTTGCCAAATGGATCTGAGAAGAACGGGCGCCCTTTCTGGACGACCCAGAAACAGTACGTACTTCACAACCGATGTGCTGAGAGTAGCTTTGTTTCGAAAGCCAGACCGACGCGTCCGTGATCCCACAGTGACATCGTATGGTGACCACACCACTCGGCCGCCCTGCGCCGCCGTTCTGGTGTACTGACCGACCACAGGAGAATCATTCGCAGAGAAATCGCAACTTTTTCGACTTCTAGTTTGTCAGTCATCAAAACCTTAGTGTTTTGCCAGAAAAATTGTTCAACTAGGCCCCTTTTTTGGACGACATAATTTTGCGCTTTTTCACATAAAACGCGTGGTAAAATCGTCACTTCAGACGATTGGTGTCTTTGGACGCCAACCAATTTTTTTAGTGCGGAAGCCGAATGAAAAAGACCCTCTCCAACTCCTCTGCTCCAGGAGGTGCGAGCGAGGAATGAACCCCGGGCGCTCTCCCGGCCCGGCCCGGCCCCGTGAGCCGAGTTACGTTTGCTCGGTCTCTACCGCCCCATCCCCATCCGTCCCAGATTCTTCCGCGCTGCCGTTCCGCCTGTCCTTTTCAATCAGGACACCAAGTGCAGCGCTCTGCGTGGGGCTTCCCCTGAATACAGAGTGGGCGGCCACCCTTCTCCTCTTTCATCCCTCATAATATACGACTTCCACCCCCCCCCCAGCCCCCCTTCTGCGGTTTATTTTGCTCGGTTTGTTTCCATGTCGCCCCCGCTGTCGCTTCCAGCCGGGCTTCGCTTATCGAAACAAGACGCCAAAGGCTTCACCACTGTAAATGTGGCGTTCAACAGCCACGCGCCTCGCCACGCGCGCACCCCACCCGCCCGCGGACGCGTGTTCGCGGGGCTTTTCACTCGCAAAGATAGCAAATGTGTACTTTAATATTTTCGATATTCCCGCGCTTTTTTCGGGGTCGGTTTTCCTCCCTCTGCTGCTCTGAGAACGAGCTGCTTATTGACGTCAAGGGTCTGATCGGCTCGGCTCTGCCGGAGCCTCGCGGCCATCAGCCTTTTGTTCGCCAAACAATTGTGTGTTCTGATGCCTGGCTACTCCCCCCCCCCCCCCCCCCCGCCCTAACTGTTCTCGGAAGGCCTGCCGCCCCCGTAGGTCCGTGATGGCTGGGCCTAGTTGAGCCATACGGACCAGACGACTCGCCTGCTGCGGGTTATGGCGGCGAGGTAGCCCTGTACTCTGCTGCACAAATGTGCAGACATTGTGTGGTGTGGTCTCGTTTTCACTCCTCAGAACGTTTACCTCCTCCAACTCGTGCTGGCAAGGTGCGTGCGTGCGCGCGCGCGCGCGCGTGTGTTTAGCGAGGGCATTCCCGAGACAATGTGTTGGATTGAACTGTCAGGCAACGTCTTGCAAGATTTCATTTTGGGGGAGTTCATTTCGCAATTTTTATGCCTTATAACAAGCGACTTTGACATCAAAATTGTGCGCCCGTCAGTCGTAGAACTAGTTGAACGATCAAAAAGACCCCCGTGACCTATGCGCACGACTAACCCTGGTTGGTTGTGGTGTGTTTTTGGTACGCACTTTAGACTGTCTGCTGTGTGGCGTTGTATGTTGCCTACCAGTGAGCACCAGCAGGAAGCCCTTCCCGAGCTAAAGTGGTCCAGTTGTCCGGCCACGTCTTCTTGGCCGTTGTCGGGCCGGACCCGCTCTGCTCCGACCTATCGACTTGACTCAGACCTGCGTGACGGTTTACTCGAATCCCGCACCTTAAGCCCTCAGCCAATGACGAATCCCAGAAATACAGTTCTGCTTCTGACACGCCCTCTATCAATGCATCTTCCCCCTTTCCGTAGGTTTTCCTACAACGCCAACCCCGTGCGGCCCGCTAAACGCCTTCTGCTACACCAAGCCGCTACACCGTCTCCTTCACTGTACCGCAAAAGCTGAGAAAACTCTGAAAACTTTTACGTCAAGTTTATCGGCGCCTCCCACGGAGAGCCCGTCGCAAAAAAATTATAAAACTGAAAAGAAGAGTAAAACGAGGTGGCGTGCGAGCCAACCACGGCAGAGGATGGTGCGCGGCGCGCGCCATCGCAGAGAAACTTGACAGTAACTTCTCGTGACCCCCTCAGTCCGAGTCTATCCCTCACTGATTACGGATCCGGACGGCAACGTCTAGACTAACAGGACTTGCGACTAGTCTCGGAATTTGAACCACCAGTTTCTTTCAATTTTTCAGTGTATACACCGACAAACCTTCGATACTTCGATCGTGCCTTCCGCTCCTCAAATCAAAATTGCGACACTTTTACAAGTTTGAAACTTACAACGCAACCTTCAAGCCAAACTTCAGGCATAGAGTTTTCGTAGCTCGGATCTCGGGTGTAGTGGTATACTATACATTAAATCAATCAGAACGCTGATGTGGATGTGGTCGGGGCAGAGGAAGAAAGGTAGAAACACACAATGTTCAGGCCCACCATTTGTTCTGTATTGTTCTCAACATTCCAGTACAGGAACACGTTCCGTTTTAACAAATCATGGGTGTTCTCATCACTCCTTGTCGTCTTATCATCATTAGACACGTAAAAAGAAAGAAAACGGAAAACAAAACGAAAATTGACATCATCAAAATATTTTTTATTATAGTATGCACAGCTACACAGATACACATGTAGATTAAAATATACGTATAATATATACG